AGTCGCAAACAACTAGATGGCACATAACAACATCCCTATCTCTATCTCTATCTCTATCTCTATCTCTATCTCTATCTCTATCTCTATCTCTATCTCTCTCTCTATCTCTATCTCTCTCTCTATCTCTATCTCTCTCTCTCTCTATCTATATATCATCTATCTATCTTGGCTTATTTACAAAGTTCAAATACATTGATTTTCATACTAGAGCTTTCCCGTTTCCTTCACCCCTTGACTCTACCCATCAAACTGTGAGACCCTGTGATTAACCACCCCCACCCCACCCCACACTGCCCATCCTCAGCCCTCAGCTCCAACACTCCTCTGCCCTGGTTCCTCATATTTGTTCTATCACAATGGTCTTCTTATACAATATTTATCTTCGTGGAACTGAGTAAGTTCACTTAGCATAATGCTCTCCAGTCCCTCCCGAGGCAGGCAGTAATTTAGAAAATCATTGCTCCTGTTGTCTGTAACTCTAGCACACCTCTCCCTGTCTTCCTTTTCCTGTGTGGACATGTACCTTGAATTCTGACAGACTTTGCAGAGGCTGGTCTGTAACTATGGGCTGGACAGTGAGCACTCATCACCAGAGGACTGTCAGCGTGTGAAACTGTGTGAACCTGAGCCAGTCCCTCATCCACTCTGACTCTGGTCCTCCCCATCAACTGGTTTCCTCATGTTGCTCTACCTGCAGGTCCACAAGGGGGGAGCTTTGCTGCACAGAGACTTGCTTTCTCACAGTCCAGAAAGCTAGAAGTCTGTGTTCAGAGCACCAGGACTAGGGGAGGGCATTCTGTCTGTCCAAGGGGGGAAGTCTTTGTATCTAATATTCTTCTGTGAGTCCCTGACCACATAAGAAGCCCCTCTGTGCCTGTCTGTTATTTTTTTTCTCTCTGTGCCTGGATGTTTTGCCACTATTTTTCCTCATTTTGACTGACTTCTAATCTGGGCTCTACCCCTACTACTATAACTAATATCTCTGCATTCCTACTGCTGTTCATAGGGTTTTCAGAGGCCTGCTATTTAAGAAGTGGATGGTCAATCCTCCTTCCTAGTCCTCTTAATCTGGGAGCTCTACTAAACCTGTCCAACATGGGAGACCCTTGCGGCTTTTCAGGGGGTACAATTCAGTCCATAGCACCATTGAAAAAGCTTAATATTAATTCAGTGACTGTTGTTGTCTTTGTTGATTGCCATTGAGTCGAGCATGACTCATACCAACCTTATGAACAAAATACCTGAAGCCTTTCTATAACTATTGTCATTTCTCAAAGTTCATAGAGTTTCCAGAGGCATGTGGTTTAGGATGTGGATGCCACTTCTGCTTCCAAACTTGTCTTAATGTGGGAGCTCCACCAAACACTGTCAACCATGGGGAACCGTTATGGCATTTGACACCCCAGTGGCACAAGGTTCAGCATCCCAGCAACCCCAGGTTATCTCAGTCCAGCAAATTGACAGAACAGTGCTGTACGACTTAGAAGAATGTTCCTCCAAAATATAACAACTGACTTTTAAATACAAAGGCCCTCCACAAGGTCTTGTTGACGCTAAACAAGAGGCTTATATAAAAGTAACCAATATCATATGTTGCTGTTACGTGGTATCGAGTCACCTGCAACCAATAGAAACACTATACACAGCAGCTCTGAACCCTTCCCTGTCCTCAGCCAGTCTCACTAATTCCAACACACCAACCCCCATTACCCCAGTTATTGTATCAATCCATTTTATCCAGGATCTTCCTCTCCTCCGTTGTCCCTCCACCCTTCCTAGCATTATTTTCTTTTCCAAGGACCAGTTTCTCCTGGCCATGTGCCCAAAATATGTGAGATGGAGCTTCAAATTCCTAGCCTCCAAAGAGAGACTTGATTTCACTCTGTCCAAGACAGACTTAATTTGTTTTCTTGGCAGTCCATGGTATGTTCAAGACTCTTCTCCAGCACCACAACTCAAAGGCATCAATTCTTCTTCTGTCATCTTTAGTCATTGTCCAGTTCTCTGAAGCCTAACAATTGTGAAGACCATGGCCTGGATTAGGTGCATCTTAGTCTCTAGACTGACGTTGTTGCTTTTCAGCACTCTGGAGAAGTCCGTGACAGCAGATTTTCGCAGTGCAATTTGTCTTTCCCCCTCTCCACTAGTATTTGTTTTTTTGGAAGTAGAATTAAAAAAAAAAAAAGAAGAAAGAGAAGAGAGAGGGGGGTGTGTGTTTATGTGTGGCGTCTCATTCACCAACACATACCTGCTCATCTTGGCTGTCAGCCCAAGTCTCCACTCACAGATGAATGTCTGTTGTTACTGATAATACCAGATTGCATTACTCATAATGTACACACACAGCGGTTTAGGATCCCATCCAACACAAATGTTTCTACACAAAGTATTCAGTGACATTGGTGATGTTCTTCTTAATGCGAGCATATTATCATTACTTCCATTCTGGTTGCTCTATTTCCATTAATCTAGTCTCCCTCTCCATTGGAGTCTCATCTTTGTTTTTAAATAATTGTTGATCATTTGGTCTCACATAGATGATTTTTCAATCTTTTAGAAAATACTAATGGCTGATACTATTTCTGCCCCAGTCAATTTACTTAATTACAAGGCAACCTCAGGGATTAGTTTCTGTTGAGGGCATAAAGAGTATCTCAGAAACAACTATGAGATATCATCTCACCCTAGTCAGAATAGCAAAATTTAACAGAACAGCAAACAACAAATGCTGGTGAGGTTGTGGAGAAACTGGAACCCTTATTCACTGTTGGTGGGAGTGTAAAAT